AGGATGGGTGGGTGGGTGAGCAGGATTTGGGCCTGAGGCGATGGCAGATCAGGATGACCCAGTAGAAGACATAGTATGGGCAAAATCCAAGGGGCCCCATATTTGGTGGCCAGGATGCCTGCAAGGGAGCAGCTAGTGAGGCACTGGAGAGGTTGGGTTTGGGCTGGGGATGCAAGGTCTGGGGAAATTGGGTGGAGGAAAGGGTCAGAGAAATGTATTTTTAGAAGACTCTCCCATGTCTTCTCCTCTCTTTGGATCAGGTGCTCCTCCCTCCAATTCTAGCAGCTAGGGGTTCTCACCTGGGCTTTCTGGAATCTCCTGGCTTCCTTTTCACCTGGCCAAACCCACCCAAGCTCCATGGCCCAGTTGAGATATCTCCACTAGATGTCCCCCCACAGTAGACAGAGCCTGGCCCTATTATGCAGCCCCCAAAGAGCTTCTGAACCAGAATTCTGCAAGGGTTTTCTGTGGCTTTGTCACCTCATCCATTAAATAGTAAGCAATTTAAAGGCTAGACATGGATCTTTCGCTCTTCCTTCCACAACAATACACACACACACACACCCATGCACAGACTACCACAGAACTGGAGGGGAAGAAGTCTACCCTCCATCATTAGCCTGATTGTTATTTGCTGCCTCCTGGGACTGGCTCCCAGCACCATGCACTGGAAAGGGCAAGGGCTTCAGCCTCACACAGACCTTTGTTTGAATCCAGGCACTGCCCCACCCTTTTGTTGTGTGACCTTGGGCAAGTCCCTTGATCTCTCCATCCTTCATTTTCCTCATTTGTATGTGGGCAACAGTGCATGGCACTTAGCAGGGATGTGGCAAATGATAGCCATTCATGATGATTATTGTTGTCACTCCTGAAAGCTGGCAAGATCAGATGGTCCAAAGAAGCCAGGGCTAAGTTTCCATTTTCTTTCCCTTTTAATTTAGTTGTCTTCTCCTCCCATCTGCCTCCTCCGTTTTTTCCTCCTGGGGTCCTTCCTGTCACTAGTCTATGGGTCTGCCTGCCTCTCTCCCTCCTGGGCTATGGCTGACTCTCACTGGTTGTGCGCTGTCTATGCCTCATGCACAATCAGTCAATAAAGATAAATTACAAAATCATTTGTTTTATTTGTTCTTGTTACCTTGAGGGCTGTCTGAAATTGCCTTTCTTTTGAAAGCCACATTTGCATATCTCTATGCTGGAGTCAAAGGCTGCAGCTGTGGTTTCACTGCAATTTAAATATTAATAACCCCCCCTAAACCTCTAGCTGTTTTTTTAAAGCAGCCTGGCCTTCTCCTCCTAGGCTGCTAATGTAATTTAATTTTTGTCTTTTGCTTTGTATAGTAGTCCCCCCTTATCCATAAGGGACATGTTCCAGGACCCCCAGTGGATGTCTGAACTCTATATATACTATGTTTTTCCCTATACATACATACCTCTGATAAAGTAAAATTTTAATTTATAAATTAAATAGATTGGGCAAAGAGATTAACAATGATAGCTAACAATAAAACAGAACAATTATAACAATACCCAGAATGGCATGCAATTTAAAACTTATGAATTGTTTATTTCTGGAATTTTTCATTTAATATTTTCAGACCAACAATGACCTCTGGTAACCGAAAATGTGGAAAGCAAAACTATGGATAAGGAGAGGGGACTATTGTCTTTGCTTAAAGAGCCTTTCTGGAGTTAACCAAAGCCACCTGCTGCAACTTTGTAGATAAGAACCAGCCCACAAACCTTATTTATCCTCAATAGGCCCAAGATTCACTGCTCCTAGAGATAAAATAGACCACAGGCAACATTTTCTATCAATTAGCAGCCCCTTACACTAAGGCAGTGGTTCTTAAACTTGAGCCTGTTGCAGAATCATGAGTTGCAGGCCCCCTCCCTGTGCCAGAGTTTCAGATTCAGTAGGGCTGGATGAGCCCTGGAATATGCATGTCTAACAAATCCCTAATTGATGCTATTGCCCTCTCACGCCCCCATCAGGAGATCATGCTTTGAGAACCTCTGCACTAAGCTGCATGTTAAACTGCCTTATATCATTTTGGGGCCTTGAAACTAGGTCTCCAAAGTTTCCCAGCCACTGGTGGTGGTGGGGACAGGGTAGTCTCTTCAGATTTCAATTCCTTCCAACCCCTCAAACCATTGCTTAGATTTTTCTGATCATCTACTCAGGATCAGCTCCCTCTTATCTCCCCAATCCAGCTCTCCACAGGAGCTATTTCCAGTTCTTAATTTGCCCAGATCCGTTTCTTTAATTTTCTCCTTGTTATGGGAAGATTTACAGGCTGTTCGAGGAAGCTAGGCATCACTGAAGTACAATGAAGGGGCCTCTGGCTCAGCCATTTTCCAGTCGTTGATAAGCGAGCTCCCAGATTCCCCAGGCTGCAGTCCCGTTTTTTCTCTCTCTCTCTGGTTTCCTTGGCTAGATCTGCAGTTCTCCCTCACCCACCACTCTCTCTGTGCCGTCTGCTTCTGGGGCTGACCTTATCTGCTCCTCGCAGCCTTCACAGGATACGTTCTGGGCAGCTTGGCTCCTTCCGTTCCAACTATCCCAACACTGATTCCTTTCTTTTTCTCCTGCATGTTTTTCAGCCGATACTTTGTTGATGATTTTGGTTGCATTTTTTAGGAAAGAGATAATCTGCTCAAGCTCTTTTCTAGGCCCCCTCCCTGTGCCTGCATAATCCTTCTCCTCCTTCTTTTCCAGCTTCTTTGCAGATGTTCGTTTTGCAAAATGAGATAAAAGTAATATAGGAACTAGTTGCCAAGTGCTGCTGTGCCCAGAGAGGGGTAGAGGTTGTGGGGTGGAAAAGTGGGAGGAAATCTTAAAGTCAGAGGTCAAAGGAGCAAGTATATTTATTCTATCATCAGATAGGACTCTTAAACCAGGGCAGGCATCTTGAGGCCAGGGCCAGAACTTGACTTTCGGAAACGGTTATGCAGAGGTCAAGAGGTAAATATTTGTTAAGAGGCCTTGGGAGACAATTACAGAAAGCCTAACATGTTTTAGTCATCTCTGCTTTCACCCAGCACTCCTGAAAAGGCAGGCTGTACTAGATAGATGTTGCTTTTTCTAATAACCTATCAGTGATGGGGGCAGCAGGCCAAGTGCTGGCTCACCCCTAGGACCCAGTAAGCCATGACTGGTATGACAGGTCACTGGAAATGAGACACTGTGGGACTGAAGACTGGACGGACAGCACTTCTCTTTGCTTCCCACTTGTCTTTACCACTAGCTCTGAGACCCATCAACTCTCTGGCAGGTAGACAGGGAGCTGGCATGGGCCCTGGAGAGGTCAAGCTCTAGATGAAGCTGAACTGCAAGGTTCTGACAACTGAAAGATACACAATTATAAGCTAGGAGTCTGGAAAGAAGTGGAAAAAGTAGCCATGATCCAACCCCACAAGACCCTCTGCCTAACATGGGGCTGCTTTTACTATCTCCCACCCAGGAAGCCCACAGAGGAGGAGAGTGCTGGTTCCCCTCACAACCCACTCCTCTCCCAAAATTCCCTTAAGTTTGAACTGTTGCCTTGTGTCCTGGGGTCAGTGACTGATGCAGGTAGAAAGCTGATGATGGGGTGGAAATGTGGGTTCAGATCTCCATGCACTCATTTACTAGCTGTGCGAACTCTGACCAAAATCTTACAAACAAGGAACTTGAGAGCTTTAGTTCTCATTTTTCAAATGAGGTAACAAATACCCACTGCATAGGGCTATGCTGAAGTCAGAGATAAAATGTAATGGCAGCTCCATTTTCTCTACTCTTCCCTCACCACCACCCAATACAGCAGTACTGTATTGTGTAATGACTTCATTCTCTTTGCCTCAAGGATTCCAATCTCTAAACAGTATGTGGACCAGGAAATAATGATACAGAATGTCATCTGTGGATTAAGCATGTTAAATAGGTGTGGTAGGCAGAATTCTAAAGATGTCCTCCCTTGACTGCTGTCTCCTGGTTATTCAATCCAACACTAACCTACGTACTGCTATGAAGGGTATTTGCAGCTCTAATTAAGGCAATGGACCTTAAGATAGCAAGATCACCCTGGATTACCTGCTTGGTGTCATCTAATCGCTTGAGCCCTTAAAAACAGAGAAATGTCTTTGGCAGGAGTTGGAAAGATGTAGCAGTCAGAGGGATTTAGTTTGAGAAAAACTTGACCAGCCATTGCTGGCTCTGAAGATGGAGGTAGGGGGCAGGAGCTAGGAATGTGGGCAGTCTCCAGAAGCTGAGAGTGAGTGACCCTTGGCCAACAGCCAGCAAGGAAACAGGGATCTCAGTCCTACGACTGCAAGAAACAATTTGGCCAATACCCTCAATCAGCTTGGAAGCAGATTCATCCCCAGAGCCTGTGGAAAAGAACACAGCCCTGCCAACCCCTTGACTTTGGCCTCATGAAACCTGAAACAAAGAAACCAGGCGAGTCACCTCAGACTTCTAACCTACAAAACTGTGAAATAATAAACAGATTTTTTTTTTTGAGACAGTCCCACTCTGTTGCCCGGGCTAGAGTGCCATGGAGTAAGCCTAGCTCATAGCAACCTCAAACTCCTGGCTTAAGCGATTCTCCTGCCTCAGCCTCCCAAGTAGCTGGTACTACAGGCACGTGCCACTGCACCCAGCTAATATTTTCTATTTGTAGTTGTTTGGCTAATTTCTTTCTATTTATAGTAGAGACGGGGTCTCGTTCTTGCTCAGGCTGGTCTCGAACTCCTGAGCTCAAGTAATCCTCGCGCCTCGGCCTCCCAAAGTGCTAGGATTACAGGCATGAGCCACCACGCTCAGCCAACAGATATTGTTGTAAGCCACTAAATTTGTGATAATTTGTTATGGCAGCAATAGGAAATACAAAAGGTATATAAGCTGCTCAATAACCCTAGGAGGTAGATACTATTATTACCCCCATTTTTCAGATGAGGAGACTAAAGCTTAGTGACAAAGCTCAGAGAAAGTCTGCTGGTACAAGTCTCAAGAGCAGTCATTCTTGGTGGAAGTGTTTGCTACCAAGTTTATTTGCAGTGTTAACAGCACAACATTTACAAAACATATTTTGTACAATCAAGTCTGCACTACCCTTACACAATGGGGGGTAGGGAAGACCTAGTCCTTCCAACAGCTATAAACAGTCCTGGAAGATGAGTTTATGAAAAACACTTTCTCTTCCTTCAGCAAGCAAAATTATTCATGAAGCTGTACAGTTCAGCAATAGGGAGCAAAGGGAAAAAATTACCTTAAAGAAAGCAACAGCTCCTTTCCTGGTGGGATCAGTCATTTTATAGACATGAAATATTCATACCAGAGATCTTATATTTTAAGAGGAATGGGTTACGTACCAGAGCTACAACAATAAACATTTTATTTATTACTAATGGGGAATTTAGAATACTCTCTCTGCACACTGGTTCTTGAATATATTCTGTTATTTCAGAGCACATTTTTTAGATATCCAGAAACTATAAGCCCAGACTTTTGGAGATCTCTTCTAATTAACCTTAAGCTTCATGTTCACATCCACTACCTGCCTCAGAATTTTTTCCCTAGTGCTCCACTCCAACATTTGAGAGTTGTCCAAGGACTCTTCTAAGTCACATAACAGATCCCAAGCACTCTCCTTTCATAGAAGGGTCTGACTCTTGGCCTTTGTGAACATAGGGCTTTAGAGAAACAAACTTAGGGAAACCAGCTATTCTCTTGAAGTCAAGCCACTCTGTGCCAACAGCCCTGGTAGGAGGAATGGGCTGATAAATAATGAATCAGCATCTTGCTCAATTGGTAGGGTTTAAATGGTTTTAAAATCTTCTTAGGTGAAAAAGTACAATTTTGTACTCTTGGCAGATTTCAAAGGGAGACATGAAGCAAAAAATCTTTAAGGGACCCTCACGTAGCCAGAAGTTCTTTTCAGACTGATATACATCAAATATTTAGCAACCAGGGCTACAGAAGAACTGAAGAGTGAGAGGAGCTCCCAGGGCCTGGAAGCTCATTCTTAGGGCCCCATAGCCCTATACATGTGGCTGGCTATAATCAGCAGTGGCTGTGGGGGATCTGAGGTATCAGGTAGGTGTCCAGCTCCTGGCACTGGTACAGTGCTACGCTGTCTAACACCCACTCTCGGGTCACGACAGGTGCTTCACACATCTGCCCAATTGCTGGGGACAGAGAACACAAGCAGAGATTAGTGCCAATTCACATTCTCCCAAACCAGACTCTAATCAATCTACTCTGGGGACCTGGATGTATGAGGTCTTAGGGTTAATCAGGTAGGAGCTAAACTGTTTCTCTTAAGCAATGCTTCAGAACATAGAGCTTCAATTAGAAGCCTGAGGAGGGACTGCTGGTAAAAGCCCCATAGCTTCTGGTAACTGTATTAACATGAGTTTCAATCTCTTAAAGGAAAAGCCACCAGAGAAAGCAAAATAGCATTGCAATTTAATGATGTGAAAAACGTTTGCAATTTCTTTTTTTTTTTTTTTTTTTGAGACAGAGTCTCACTTTGTTGTCCAGGCTAGAGTGAGTGCCGTGGCGTCAGCCTAGCTCACAGCAACCTCAAACTCCTGGGCTCAAGCAATCCTCCTGCCTCAGCCTCCCAAGTAGCTGGGACTACAGGCATGCGCCACCATGCCCGGCTAATTTTTTCTCTCTATATATATTAGTTGGCCAATTAATTTCTTTCTATTTATAGTAGAGACGGGGTCTTGCTCTTGGTTTCGAACTCCTGACCTGGAGCAATCCGCCTGCCTCGGCCTCCCAGAGTGCTGGGATTACAGGCGTGAGCCACCGTGCCCGGCCCATTTGCAATTTCTTAAGTGAAAAATTAAAACAGTGTAAATATGATCACATTTGTGTAAAATGCACATGTGTACATGTATATACTATATACATGCTTGAAAGAATTTTCCAGCGATCATCTCCAAGTGGTGGGATTACTGGGATTATTATATTGTTTTTGTGTTGGTTTATATTTTCTGTGATGAACATTCATATTTAACCTCTCCCATTGGAAACAGTTCATGTATTACTTCTATAATACAAAACAAACAACAAACATTTTAAAAAGACATTTTAGCCATTCAACAAATATCTAAAATGTGCTAAGAACTATACTACTCAAGCACCAGGAAATGAGTGGTGAACCAAACCCATCCAATAGGACTTCATATGACATAGGCATACGCAGGCATCTTACCATGAAAGCCATTGTCCTCTGTCCAGGCATCTGGCTGCACAACCACAACTGGGTGAACATCCTGCATCCCCAGGAAGAAAAGAGCATTGAAGGTGTCAGAGCAAATTTTTGGAACAGTCACTTCACCATTTCTTGACGCTTTGTTGAAGCAGAGTACTTTGGGGACAGCCATAGAAAGGAGGGGAAGGGCACATGGCGAAAGGGGTTGGGGGAAAGAGCTTTCTCTCAGTATATCAAATACTTATGGCCAAGTGCAGTGGCTCATGCCTATAATTCTAGCACTCCGGGAGGCTGAGGTGGGAGGATTGCTTGAGGTCAGGGGTTCAAGACCAGCCTGAGCAAGAGCAAGACCCCCATCTCCACTAAAAATAGAAAAATTAGCCAGGCATGGTGGTGATGCGTGCCTGTAATCCCAGCTACTCAGGGGGCTGAGGCAAGAGGATCAGTTGAGCACAGTGCTGAGAGCTTGACTGATGCCATGGCATGGTACTCCAATCTGTGCAACAGAGCAAGACTCTGTCTCAAAACAACATCATCATCGACAAGCCTTGTAGTTTCCAAGTCCTTACTCATCCCTTACAGATGGAGGCACGTGGTCAGAGAAGACTTCTGAGGCTACATTAGGGAGGGTCCATGGGGCTGATGGGTATCAGCCTTACTCAGTCACAGGAGAGAATATTGTATCCTCCCTCTCTGACTGAGTACCAAACACTTACTGTGCCAAGGGTGAATGATGACAGCTCCTTCACCACAGTAGCCCCACACAGCTGCACCATCCATTCCAGTTGATCTAAACAGGACATTTAGACCTAAAATGACCATGGTATTCTGCATACGTAACCTGCGCCCCCTACCCCCTACTCCTTTGGATGAAGGCTAACAAGACTTCTCAGTGGGAGAGTCTCTGTCTCTCTGCTCCAAAGGAGTGAAAAGCCTTAAATTAGAATCTATATCAGGGATGTGGATTCTAAGTCAATTTGCCACTGATGTGCTGCCTACTCTGGTTATCAGTTTCCATATGGCCACTTGGTAGATAAGGTTTGATAGTTTCTCAAATAAAACGCTTTAAAAAAAATCCAAGATCTAATTTCCATTAATTTGCTAAATTGCTGGCTAAGACACTGTGTGCATAAACATCCACCTTCTTTCCCTCTCTTCCTGCATCCTAATTCTTTGTTGGTAATTGATAATCACAGCCACTGAGAGCAACATCCTTGCTGGTAATTACTATAAATGTCAAGGGATGGGAAGATAATTCATCTAGTCAAAAAAAATACATGTCATTCTGGTCAGAGACTCAGTGGGGAAAGGCTACATGCTGAGTTGGAATCAACATACTCAGGGGAATAGAATCAGAAGATAGGAGGCCCAGGTGGGAGGATCGCTTGAGGCCAGGAGTTCAAGACAAGCCTAGGCAACACAGCAAGACTTAGTCTCTGCAAAAAGTAAAAAAAAAAAAATGAGCTGGGCACGGTGGCGTGTGCTTATAGTCTTGGCTACTTGGGAGGCTGAGCTAGAAGAATCGCTTGAGTCTGGGAGTTGGAGGTTGTAGGAAGCTGTGATTGTGCTACTGAACTCCAGTTTGGGTGACAGAGTGAGACACTGTCTAAAAAAAAAAAAAGGGCAAAATAACATTGCCAGCTCTCTTGCTGCCACTAATATGCCTGTGCCCAGATGCTAAGGCCTTCCTCTGAGGAGAAAGAGGACCTATGTCCACACCAGAGCCTTTGTGCTGTATAACTCCAGAGGTGAGCCCCACAGCAGTTAAACATAACATCATGTTCTGTGTCAAGTTTAACTAGAAAATGTTCAAGAGTCTTCCCCTAGGATGAATGTGGTGGCTCATGCCTGTAACCTAGCTCTCTGGGAGGCCGAGGCAGGAGGATTGCTGGAGCTCAGGAGTTTAAGACCAGCCGAAGCAAACGCAAGACCCCATCTCTCCGTCTCTACTAAAAATAGAAAAAATTAGCCAGGTGTGGTGTCTTGTGCCTGTAGTCCCAGCGCAGGCAGGAGGATTGCTCGACCCCAGGAGTTTGAGGTGGCTGTGAGCTAGGCTGACCCACAGCACTCTAGCCTGGGCAACAGAGCAAGAATCTGTCTCAAAAAAAAAAAAAAAAAAAAAAAGTCTTCCCCTGCTTTGGGCCTGTGTGTGTATCAGCCCACAGGTCTGATGCAGCTGCTATTCTTTCTCCTGTGTTAAGTGAACATAACTCTTTCTCAACTTACAAATCCAAAGGTGTCCTCTCTCCCCAATATATACAGCACTAACAGCAGCTTGACCCCACCTGAACACAGAATATACGTGTCCTAGATCTTAAATCTTCACTGTCTTTATGTTCTTGAGAAAGGACATAAGGCCTAGCTTCTTGCCATAGGATAACATTTACGTGTCATTTTGACTGGAGGGTGGTAGAGAAATAGAATAACCTGTAAAACATCTCACCAATCTGAGGAACCCCCATAAGGTGATCTCACTTATAACACTCCCCAACGTAAGAGAAAGGTGGTGCTGGAACGTGGCAATTCTCCAAGGCTCTTACCTGTGGGCATGTTGGTAAAGGGCCCATAGCAACAGATTTCTAGGCCTCTGAAGATCTGGAAAAAGAAAGGAAGAGAGAGAGAGGGACAGGGGAATGGAGAGAAAGAAACATTAGTTATAAAAGAGTTTGGGCTTTTATTATTATTATTATTATTTTTGAGACAGAGTCTCACTTTGTTGCCCAGGCTAGAGTGAGTGCTGTGGTGTCAGCCTAGCTCACAGCAACCTCAAACTCCTGGGCTCAAGCGATCCTCCTGCCTTAGCCTCTGAGTAGCTGGGACTACAGGCATGCGCCACCATGCCCAGCTAATTTTTTCTATATATATTAGTTGGCCAATTAATTTCTTTCTATTTATAGTAGAGATGGGGTCTTGCTCTTGCTCAGGTTGGTTTTGAACTCCTGAGCTCAAATGATCTGCCCGCCTTGGCCTCCCAGAGAGCTAGGATTATAGGCGTGAGCCACCACGCCCGGCCTAAAACAGTATGGGCTTTTATTAAAAAAAAAAAAAAAAAAAAATAGATTCTTACAAAGGTAAGAACTTTTTTTAAATTTTCCTTCTCCGGTTGAAGGAACTTTTTTCTTTACCACTTGACAGTTTCTGCTGCTACTTCCTAGACACAATCATTCCAATGTCAAGAACACTGATGAATTTTAGAAGGCTCTTTTCAAGTGCCTATATAGTTGATCTATATTCTGCAGTCATTCTTTATCATTCAAGGACTGAGCATCCTACTCTGCTACCAATCAGGCCCAGGCTCCTCCCTAATGACATCTGCAGAGATTTCACTTCTTGTTAGACATGAGAGGTGGGAAAAAGCATCCTTCTTTTGTTTAATAAAAGGCTTGGATGGCAAGAAGTTCAAAGCTACTGGCTGAAGTTTGATGTTTATCCAGACTTGGTAAATCAATACTGACCATGACGCCATTAGCAGACAGGTCTATGTTGATTTTATTTTTTATTTTTTTTGAGACAGAGTCTCACTTTGTTGCTCAGGTTAAAGTGCCGTGGCATCAGCCTAGCTCACAGCAACCTCAAACTCCTGGGCTCAAACTATCCTGCTGCCTCAGCCTCCCAAGTAGCTAGGACTACAGGCATGTGCCACCATGCTCAGCTAATTATTTCTATGTATTTTTAATTGGCCAATTAATGTCTTTCTATTTTTTTTTAGTAAAGATGGGGGTCTCACTCTTGCTCAGTCAGGCTGGTTTCGAACTCCTGACCTTGAGCGATCCTCCCACCTGAGCGTGAGCCACCACACCCGGCCCCTAAGCAGTTTTAATCTAGAAGTGAAGCCCTGTTCTGTGTTCTGTCTCTCCTCGTTAAGCTGGCCTGATTGCCTGCCTTCCTGAAGACACACTGCACCTCCTAGGGGCCTCTCCCACTTACAGTGCTCGGCAGTATCATTCAAAAGAACTTTCTGTGATATGGAAATGTTTTATATCTGCGCTAGTAATGTAGCCATGAGCCATGTGTGGTTGCTGAGCACTTGAAATGTGCTTAGGGTGAATGAGAAACTAAACTTTATATTCTAGCTTTTTAAAATTTAAATTTAAACAGTCCCATGTGACTGGTGGCAACTGTGTTGAACAGTGTAAATTCTTACACATGCATTGGAATGGATTCTTATGAAAGAACTTGGATATCATTTAAAAGAAACCTAAATTTGTGTCAGTGAATGGATATATATGAGTAACTCTCATTCTTCTTACCCTCTTTCTATTCCACTAAAAAGAAAACTGCCTAAGCCTAGAATTCACCTGGCCTCAAAGAGACTGGGATAGAGAAAAATCAGGGAGCTAGAAACACAGATGGCCTTTTAAGAAATGGTCCCCCTCACCCCCTACAAACACACACACTAACTACAGCCAGAGGGAAAAGAAAGGACAGCAGGACAAGTCTGTTTCTGTTTTAAGTGACAGTCTCCATCTGTGCCACTCTCACTATGTGTATGAATAAACTGCATTCCCAACCTGTTGACAGGTTCTAGATGCTCATAATGCTAAAAGGTATCCCCAGGCAGCCAGTTGGAGCCAAATGCTGCCATGAAAAGTACAAAAGATTAAAATTTTTTACATCCAGGCTGACACTCACTGATGAGGATGTCTAGTTATGAGATAAATTCGAAGTTTCACCTCTACAAATACATTTCTCTTCCAGAGGAAAATACAATGGTGACACTATCTTCAGAATGCCATTACTCTAACCAGGTACTTTCTATCATTGCTACCCTGAATAGAGGAAAAAACCCAAAGCATTAGAATTTCTTTGAATCTGGTGCTAATTCTGTCTTGCATACAGCGGAGTAAAAACAAATGACTGGCTCACATGGAGCTCCCCTGGGGTGAAGGCAACAGCATAAACAGGGCCAGCATCTTTCCTTGGCATCTGGAACAGTTACTTGATAGGCTCAGAAGGTGAGGTTGGGCTGACCTCAAGGGTTCAGAACTCCAGACTTGATTTGTGATAATTTCTCAAAGCAGTTATCCTTAGAAAATCACCTCTATAGGTTCTCTCTCAAGTTTCTGTAAAAGGATAGAAGGTGCTCTGTATGAGGATATTCTGAAATGACTGGTGGCGCACGCTTGGAAAAGGAAGAAAAGCAGACCAGGAACATAAGCACTTAATCAGTAACCTGAGAAAGCAGCCAGCTCAGGCCTGACATGCAGGTGTGAAATCTTGCATGGACTTCTCCCTGAGCAGAGGACATAGTTCTGGCTACATCATCTGCTACAATATGATCTGGGTAAAGTCACTGAGTTTACCTGGGCCCTTGCAAAGTTTTGAAATAAGCTATTTTTCTCCTCTGTGAAGTTCTATAACTTTTGAAGAAACTATAGTATTAAGATTTTAGACTTAGAGCTAGACTGTCTGGGTTCAACTTCTAGTTCCACCACTCACTAGCTATGTGACCTTGGACAACTTATCCAATCTCTCTGAGCCTCAATTTTCTCATTTGTAAAATAGGCATAATTATAGCACACACTTAATAAGGTTGTTGTAAAATTGCTAATTACTTAAAATACAGTCAAATGTTTGGAAGTCCCTGGCATATAGTGAACATTACATAAATGATAACTGTTATTGGTTATTAATCGCTTCCTCTTCTACGCATCCATAGACAGCACTGTGTAAACCCCACTCAGAGCACTTACCACACTGCTTTAGAGAAAGATACGCCAGTAAAGTGGAACAAGCAAAAGCTTTAGATTCACGTCTGTTGAAAGTCCCTGCTACTTATTAGCTGAGATTTGAAGTCCAGACTGGAATCCAAACTACACAGCCTCTCTAAACCTTTAAATTCCTTCATTCATAAAATAGAGACAATATTTATTTACCTTGTTGGGCCAGAAGAAATAAAAAAAGAAGCTCTGTGAAAGCAGCCTGCTAGTGCTCTACTGGCATGTACGTAATGAGCCCTACAAGATGAAGGGGACCATCTCCATGGAGGGGACTGAAATGCAGAATGGTGGAATGGGGTTTTTGGGGGAAGGAGCTTTACCTTTCTGTCCTGGGATTCTCTTGCTCGCTTTGGACCTTGGTGGTTTCTTCCGTTGACCACATCTCCTCTGACTTCAAAATCATGCTGAAGGAAACCAAACACAAACCATCAGGATCAAGACAGAGAAGTGTCTTTCAATGGAAGTGGAACAGACACATACTTAAGGCATTAAGAATTGCCAGGCAGACCCTTGACCAAAAATAAATAAATAAATTCATTCTTTTTGGTGGACTGGGTGAAATGACCAGAATCTCAGTTGTTGAAATCAATTCACTGAAGCAAATCTTTGTGTGCAGAAATTAACAACTGGCTTTTCACCTCACTGAGACTGTATTTTAACTCTCAACATCTATCTCCTCTCAAAACATTCACTTACATTTAAACTGCTAATACTGTACAGTTATAAAGATAACTGAAGAATTCTTGATCTCCTAAATAAATTGTACATTATACCACCTAAAGAAATAAGGTCTTTTCAGATTTCCATTGAGAGATTTACAAAGTTAATGAAGACAAATGATAAAATATACATTTAATACACTGAAGAAAGTTAGAAGTTTTTCGCACTCACTATTGTGACTGGTCAAGGATGACAGAGTAAAGAATGGAATTGGGGAGGTTAAAGTTTTTGGGGAGAGGCCAGGCGCAGTGGCTCATGCCTGTAATCCTAGCACTCTGGGAGGCTGAAGTGGGCGAATTGCTCGAGGTCAGGAGTTCGAAACCAGCCTGAGCAAGAGCAAGACCCCGTCTGTACTATAAATACAAAGAAATTAATTGGCCAACTAATATATATATATATAAAAATATATAAATTTAGCCAGGCATGGTGGCACATGCCTGTAGTCCCAGCTACTTGGGAGGCTGAGGCAGGAGGATTGCTTGAGTCCAGGAGATTGAGGTTGCTATGAGCTAGGCTGACACCACGGCACTCACTCTAGCCTGGGTAACAAAGTGAGACTCTGTCTCAAAAAAAAAAAAAAAAGTTTTGGGGAGAAATCTGAGGAAAAATGCTTCAAAACAATTCTAACTGAAATTCAGATTCTAGGGAAGGCTGTATGTATTGCCAAGGGTATTATGAAGAAAAATAAAGGAAAGAGTATAACCAAAGGCTGTTACTAGGGGAAGAACACTTAACATTTCTTAGTCACTTGAACAAGAAGAGTCTAGTGATAAATTTGTCATTTATTTAAAGATGCCTCCCATATTTATAGTCCTAATTGCACCCCTAAGCTTCATATAATGTGTCCAATTGCCTTCTTAACCTCTCCTTCCAGATGTTTAGTATAAATCTCCAAATTCATGCATCTAAAACAGAGCTCCTGATTCCACTCCTGCCCTCCCCTCTATGTGCTCTTCCCCAATGTCTTTCCTTTTCTAATTTAATATTACTAACATGACCCTATTGTTCAGGCCAAAATCCAAGATTCCTCTTTACCTTATCCTCCAAATTTAACCCACTAGTAAGTCCTATCTTCGACAAACAAATCCCAAATCAATCTTTTCTTATCCTCTCATGCCTCTAATTATCCTAAGAATAAAATGTGAATTCCTTGCCATGGATTATAATAAATACTACCTGATCTGGCTCTTGTCTATGACCTTCTCCCATCCCTTGTCTCAACTCTGCCTTAGTGATCTGCTGGCGTCGGCCTCCCAAAGTGCTGGGATTATAGGCGTGAGCCACCATGCCTAGCCTGGTCAGTTTTGCTTACTGTTATATTCCTAGTTCCCAGCAGTGGGCTCCCTATATATAGTCACTGAATGAAAGCTAAAACCAGCAAAAGTGTGATTTAATTAATTATGAATATACTGAATAGTGCATAATAACTTAAACTGCTTTCACTAATTTTATTTTGTCTGATCTGTCATCACCAGGAGCTCTTAGATGGCTGTTCTAAAATTATTCCTCCTTCTACACTCTATCTTATTTACCTCTCACTGTTCTCAGTATCATAAAGAGCAATATCTCTTTGGAGGAGTCTGATTTTCTAAACAGATACATTTGCATATTAATATGAAGAATTCCTCAACAACAGTGAACAGCCAGTTTTCTACAAAAGTATATGCATATTAGATTCAGGTGGGCCTATTTCTTGTCTCTATAAATCTTTTCTCTCTATTTTTTAAATTCCTTTCCCTTGCTGTTTCTTTTGAAACCTAGAAAACATGAGAACACAGAATTCCTGGTTTGCTTTGCTTAACTCCTGATGATCCCAACATCAAGGGAAATTTGCGGGAAATAGTGTATTCATGGAAAGAAGCAGATACATTTTTTGTGACTATGTGACTCAATGGCACCAAGTCTCACTGATTGGTTTGTAACATCAAGTACCTACCTCTTCCAGCATCTTTTTTTCTTTAATTGACTGGGTCACCCCTAAAGAGATCACAGAAAAGACATGTCACAGAGAGCAAAAAGAAAGAACTCTTTTCAAGGAGGTGGAGAGGTCAGTGAATTACAAAAGAGCACAGGAAGAATGACAGAGGGGTCCTCTCCCTCTAAAGCCACAGCTCTTTAAGAATAAAGCTTGCAGGCCAGGCGCGGTGGCTCATGCCTGTAATCCTAGCACTCTGGGAGGCCGAGGCAGGGCGGATTGCTCGAGGTCAGGAGTTCAAAAACCAGCCTGAGCAAGAGCGAGACCCCGTCTCTACTATAAATAGAAAGGAATTAATTGGCCAACTAATATAATAGAAAAAATTAGCCGGGCATGGTGGCGCATGTCTGTAGTCCCAGCTACTCGGGAGGTTGAGGCAGGAGGATCCCTTGAGCCCAGGAGTTTGAGGTTGCTGTGAGCTGGGCTGACGCCATGGCACTCACTCTAGCCTGGGCAACAAAGTGAGACTCTGTCCCCAAAAAAAAAAAAAAAAAAGCTTGTAGCAGAGATTTCCTTCTGGAGACACAGTTGATGTTTAATTTAAACATTATAAGCATGCCTGAAGCACATGGATTTCTGCCCACTATTAAATAAATCCCTAGTTCATATGCTAACATTGCTAGAAGCAGATTAGGTCCTATTAGTTATAAAAGAAATCCATTTTCCCAACATCACCAGCTTATCTGAACAAAGTGATGTGCATTAAAGATAAAGGTAGTTTTGTGTCACCATTAAAGATCTTTTGGTAATTCAGACTCAGCATCAGCAAAAACCTTAGGTGTTAAATGTTAAGTGTAAAATTGCAATTCTGAGGTGTTAAAGGAAGGAGGGGAGATATTGTATTGTACTTACAGAAATAGCTAACTACCCATTTTCCTCCTGCAATTCCCAGAAAATATTTCAGTGTCCGTTCACACACAAACTCAGTATCTGCAGAATGAAAAACATTCCAAAGGATCAGAAGTAGAAAACAAAATCAGGAAGTGCTGCCCTAAGAAGCTAAAACCTCAGCTATTCACACTCTCAAGATCAATCTGGATTGATGATTCTGACACCTCTGGTGATAGAATCGGAGGCTGGAAATGCCACTAAGTATAACCAGCAGGTGGGGATCTTTGGAAACCAGGAAAAGGGTGACACAAAATTAAGACCAGAGGAAATGTCTGCCCCATCTTTCAGATGCACAGGCTAGCTACATATCTCCAATTTTGTGTTTAAGGAATTATCCACATCAGTAGTATTAATTAATGTGTATGGAGAAGATCTTACCGGATGAGAATACGTGAAAGGAGAAGAAAACGGTATTGTTGAAATCCTAAATCTAAAATGTCAACGTAACAAATTTTCATCCCTAGAACTTCTACCTGGGGAATCCTAACCCCCTTATATTTCCTCCAGAGGGACAGGAAAATACTAAGTATTTTCATAGCTTTTCTCTTATCCACATAAGTATTTCAGAAAGCAGTCTCTGAAGAATCACTTCTGTTTATTTCCTAGTGTTTCAGAGGCCTTTTTGAAGAACTAAGCTAACTGAGGAAAGACCATTTAGTTTTTAACAGGAGAAATGTATTTAACTAAATCCTAAACACAGCAGGTCATCTGCAAGCAATAGCAGCAGCTATTCTCCCTCACTAAATTCTTTACAATTTTTGAAGGTTTTATTAATAAAAAAAAACTGCTAGAACTGATTTAATAAATGTTTTGGTTTTTTCTGAGACAGAGTCTCACTCTGTTGCCCAGGCTACAGTGCCATGGCATCAGCCTAGCTCACAGCAACCTCCAACTCCTGGGTTCAAGCAATCCTTCTGCCTCAGCCTCCCAAGTAGCTGGGACTACAGGCATGCGCCACCATGCCTGGCTAAAGTTTTCTATATATTTTTAGTTGGCCAATTAATTTCTTTCTATTTATAGTAGAGACGGGTTTCATTCTTGCTCAGGGTGGTCTCAAACTCCTGACCTTGAGCGATCCTCCCGCCTCGGCCTCCCAGAGTGCTAGGATTACAGGCGTGCACCACCGCGCCCAGCCAATGGTATGTTTACACTTACAAATTTTAGTTCACTTTTAGTTTAAAAGTAGCAAATGTTGTATTGCCTTTGAGTTTAAAGACTGAACTAGGCCGGGCACAGTGGGTCAAGCCACAGCACTCTGGACTGGGCAAGAGTGAGACTCTGTCTCAAAAAAAAAAGACTGGGCCGGCGCGGTGGCTCACGTCTGTAATCCTAGCACTCTGGGAGGCCGAGGCAGGTGTATCACTAGAGGTCAGGAGTTCGAACCAGCCTGAGCAAGAGTAAGACCCCATCTCTACTATAAATAGAAAGAAATTGGCCAACTAATATATATAGAAAAAATTAGCCGGGCATGGTGGTGCATGCCTGTAGTCCCAGCTACTTGGGAGGCTGAGGCAGTAGGATTGCTTGAGCCCAGGACTTTGAGGTTACTGTGAGCTAGGCTGACGCCATGGCACTCACTCTAGCCTGGGCAACAAAGTGAGACTCTGTCTCAAAAAAAAAAAAAAAAAAAAGACTGAACTAAATTAATTTAGATTTAATTTGCATTTTAAAGTTTTCTTTTCAGCTTTCATCAGCTTTAATCCAAACCTATAGCTTAAGATATTAAACTTTAATGACATTTGTCTTTAAAATAGTAATTAGTTTATAGTAACTTGTTCTAGTACTTGATACCAGTGAGCCCTACCCTCTGACCCTGTGGTACAATTTTCATATAGTAGAAACCTAAGATCTTAGAGGATCTAAGCCAGTGTGTCCAAGGGGTTTGGACCCTCTGCTCAAGCAGGTGAAGCTCTGTGAAAAGAATCATCCTGGAGAGAACCGTAAGTCCAGAGAATCGATTTTGTTAGAAAGCTGTTAGAGTTCAGTCACAATCTGCACCTCCTGCGTCCTCCTCTGGAGTTCCAGGAATGAGTCTAACTCCTCTTCTAGAAAACATTTCTTGAGATATTTGAAGACAGTTTTTCTTATTCCCTTAAATCTTCTCATTCCTTCATTTCTTCTTCAAAAGACATTATTTTGAGTTCCTGTTCCCCATCAATCTCTGGATAAACACTTTAGTTTGTCACTGACCATATTAAAAAGAAAGCTTGGTGCTCAGAGCAGAGGACATCATCTTTCAGGCAATCACTCTAAGAAAGAATATACTGGGGCTCCGGATCATTACTTCACATTAGGATTGTATTAATAAGGCCCAATTTTAAATAAGCTTTTTTTTTAGCAGCCCTGAAATGTTTAGATTTAGCTTATAGTCGACTAAAAACTGCAAAAGATCTCCTCTGTCACACAGGTCATAATTAAAATTTATAAAGGGGAAGCTGTAGGACAAATTATCTGTTCCCTTTTTGCCCTTTTTCATGTTAGGATTATCTCAGACTGTTTACCAGATTTGTTTCCTGAAAAACTCTCCACCACACTTAAACTAGGTATTATATTATCTAGGGTTTCTGGATTTTGAATGAAGATTTGCTTCTGCCCTGTTCCCCTTTGCCTCACTTGTTCTTTCAGAACTTGAACTCTGCCTCACCAGAAAGGCCTTCACTCAATGCATTCCAGGCAGGTAGACAGGAAGAAGCAGCTCACCACCCTCTAAATCTCAACTCAAAAGGGGGTCTGGAAGTAGCAAAATTATTGTTTGTCTTTCATAAAGTAATACATGATTGACTATCAGAAGACTATCACTCATGATATGCTTAACAAATATTCATATTTCTTCATGTGGTTTTATGTAGAAGATGCAAAGTATTCTGTAAAGGTTTTTGGTATACCTGTTTTCATAACAACATGAGTAGTCTCTTCAGTAACTAGATTCGTTAAAGTGATGTGGTGTTTTCTGGCAAACTTGTGCACAAGCATCTGAAATCAAAGCAAATACTACATTATAATAAATTACCTTTAGTACACAGCTTAGAATATCAATTATCCTAGCTTTAAGTTTCCATTTTTCTCAGACAGGGTACATCTTTTTTATTCTAACATGTTGGAAGTCTCAAAAAAATTTAATAAAAATTATGTACAGCCGGGCGCGGTGGCTCATGCCTGTAGTCCTAGCTCTCTGGGAGGCTGAGGCAGACGGATCGTTTGAGCTCAGGAGTTCGAGACCAGCCTGAGCAAGAGTGAGACCCCATCTCTACATAACATAGAAGAAATAATTGGCCAACTAAATATATACAAAAAATTAGCCAGGTATGGTGGCACATGCCTGTAGTCCCAGCTACTTGGGAGCTGAGGCAGGAGGATTGCTGAGCCCAGGAGTTTGAGGTTGCTGTGAGCTAGGCTGATGACACGGCATCACTCTAGCCCTGGCAACAAGTGAGACTCTGTCTCAAAAAATACCAAATTAAAATTATGTACAAAACAGAGGAAGAAATTCTAAAATAGTCTATGCTGAAGACATGGAATTACAACCAAGGATTCAGAATAATATTAATTTTGTCTTAATAGCAGATACATTTGATTCTCTATGACAGATTCTTTGCATAGTGACACTATACTATAATTTAGATTTAGCACCTATAATATATAGCTAAGAGGTAACTAACCATACAGAGTTATGCTAAAGACATATGTGGCTTAAAACCAAGATTCAGGCCAGGCCTGGTGGCTCATGCCTATAATCCTAGCACTCTGGGAGGCCGAGGCCAGAGGATCCCTCAAGGTCAGGAGTTCGAAACCAGCCTGAGCCAGAACAAGACCCGTCTCTACTATAAATAGAAACAAACTAATTGGCCAACTAAAAATATATACACAAAAAATTAGCTGGGCATGGTGGCACATGCCTGTAGTGCCAGCTACTTGGGAGACTGAGGCAGCAGGATTTTGCTTGAGTCCAGGAGTTTGAGGTTGCTGTGAGCCTGGCTGACGCCACAGCACTCTAGCTCGGGCAACAGAGTGAGACTCTGTCTCAAAAAGAAAAAAAAAAATACAAAACCAAGATTCAATCCTCCGATAGTCACAAAACACTCAAATCAAGGTGTTTCTGAGGCCGGGTGCAGTGGCTCACACCTGTAATCCTAGCACTCTAGGAGTCTGGGATGGGAGGATTGCTCAAGGTCAGGAGTTTGAAACCAGCCTGAGCAAGAGCGAGACCCCGTCTCTACTATAAATAGAAAGGAATTAATTGGCCAACTAATATATATAGAAAAAATGAGCTGAGCATGGCGGTGCATGTCTATAGTCCCAGCTTCTCGGGAGGCTGAGGCAGGAGGATCGCGTAAGCCCAGGAGTTTGAGGTTACTGTGAGTTAGGCAGATGCCTGGCATTGTAGCCAGGGCAACAGAGTGAGACTGTCTCAAAAAAAAAAAAAAAAAAAAATTTCTGAAGGTCAGTGCAAAAATTATCAATTCTTTCTTTAAAGGAGGATTGGAAGAAACTCATATTCTTCTTTTTTTTTTTTTTTTTTTTGAGACAGAGTCTTGCTTTGTTGCCCAGGCTAGAGTGAGTGCCGTGGCGTCAGCCTAGCTCACAGCAACCTCAAACTCCTGGGCTCAAGCGATCCTTCTGTCTCAGCCTCCCAATAGCTGGGACTACAGGCATGCGCACCATGCCGGCTAATTTTATTTACCATCAAGTTGCCAATTAATTTCTTTCTATTTATAGTAGAGACGGGGTCTCGCTCAGGCTGGTTTTGAACTCCTGACCTTGAGCCATCCGCCCGCCTCGGCCTCCCAAGAGCTAGGATTACAGGCGTGAGCCACAGCGCCCGGCCTCATATTCTTCTTAAAATAAGTCTAGAGTCCTCTAGCCATTGTCTATCAACCAAATAAAAATCAATAGGAAGTAAAAGAAATTAACCAGATTCATTATGGGCACAGTTGGCCTAATTGGTAGCTACCATCTGGTAAATAACTTTATGAAGGGCCATCATTTACTATAGCTGTTGCCACCCACACCAATACTTATGTGCTGCGCAATATTGCAGTAGAGGTCAGGCCATGTTTCTTTCATGGTGCCTCGCTCCATACTGCCACAGAGCACTGAAAAAAGGCAGGCTAGAGAAGCTAATGACATCCTCCCCCTTTTGCCACTGCCCTCTGCCAGGATCATTAGCAATTCTGAACTGAATAATTGCTGAAATTCTAGCCTTGAAACAGTGTTCAGTTAGAAGAGTAACTGCTGAAAAGATCATATTAATATGGGCTTCAGAATTAATCATGTGTAATACAGTCAGTGGCTTTCATCATAAATTTACCACACTTCAGCAAGTCTGAATAGAGCTCAAAGTTTTTCTCTTTGCTTGTTTAAAGACAACATGTACCCAAGCCACTTGTAGTCTAATCTGCAGCTTAGAATTGCCCATGAGAAATGGGCATTTATTGAAACCTTAAAATCTGTACCCCCATAATATGCCGAAATAAAAAAAATACATATATATATAAAAAATTGCCCATGGCAAGAAAGATTAGACCATTTTAGCCATCTCTGAAAAGCTGAACTCCCAAAACAAAGGGATAAAGAATGCTAATTTTCAATGAATAAATAGCAATTCTAGATGTGTAGGCATGTGATCAAAAGCCATTTAAACAGACACAGGTAAAATTTTTTAGAGCAAAGTGCTGATCCGGGCAAGTGGTTGTGAGATGAGAATGTTAATAGCATTGTGCACTTATTCGTTGTATCTACCAAGGCAGACACAGCTTACTTTGCCCTTTTAGTAGTGGGGCACATCTGGTCACAAAGAATGTTATGCTGAATTGTAACCTATGGAGAAGTTAGGATGAAAAATCTTATGATGGCCAGGCACGGTGGCTCACGCCTGTAATCCTAGCTCTCTGGGAGGCTGAAGTGGGCGGATTGCTCAAGGTCAGGAGTTCGAAACAGTCTGAGCAAGAGCAAGACCCCATCTCTATTATAAATAGGAACAAATTAATTGGCCAACTAATATATATAGAAAAAATTAGCCAGGCATGGCAGCGCATGCCTGTAGTCCCAGCTATTTGGGAGGCTGAGGCAATAGGATTGCTTGAGCCCAGGAGATTGAGGTTGCTGTGAGCTAGGCTGACACCACGGCACTCACTGTAGCCTGGGCAACAAAGTGAGACTCTGTCTCAAAAAAAATAAAAAAAATCTTATGAAGGATATATTAAGAAAGATATTTCAGAATGACTTAGTTATCTTTTAGTGCATAATAAACAGCACCCACTACTGAATCCACTTGAGAGTCTGGTATGTTATCTCATCATAGTCTTTAACAAATTTTCACTCAATTATTCTATTATGAAGCAATGCCAATGACAATGAATTATAGGGGAGGTAAATTTCCTGGGATTTCTGAAATCTATAAACATCAAAGTAGAAACAAGGCTTTAGTGGTTTTAATATTTTAGTATTTTCCACAAGGTGAAGGTGAAACAATTCTTACTTCTGGAATATGGAGGCCAAAGGAAATGCCAAAATCCTAATAGTAAGGGGTGTTGTAGGGCAGAAATGACAAGGAAGGCTATTGAACCATCTTACAAGCCAGGAAAAAGACAGACAAATACTGGAGAAATACCACTGTCTGGAAGTATGCTTGAAACCAGTCTGGATTTAGTTAAACATGCTGGTAAGTTCATTCAGAAGTGAACCAAGGTGGGAAAAAGATGCCTTTTGGGGATTAGAGCTATAACAATTTGCTTTTGTAGATAAAAAGGTAATTCAAATTCAAAAGTGCTATATTATACCCCAAAGTGTAACTTTTCTACTAATATTTACTAATTAGTTTCTCAAGTAAACATATAGAAAATAATCCATATTATAGCTTTCTCTAGATCTAAATTTTCATTAATTAGTAATAGAAATTAAATTATATAGGATTATTCTTGTTTCCTGGATTTCTTCCTATAGGTTATTCATTGATAGTACCCATATAAAACTGTTTGCAGTTTGTTATTAAGTCGTAGTCATTAGGGAGATACATATGGACACACTCACAGATTCTTTTGGGGTCAAGCCTGATACCACCATGGATATTCTTTTGTTGACCCTTTCTGTTGACGATGTCAATTCTGGCTTCTCCTTGTTCATACTTTCTTCCTTCACAGTCTCAGTATTATGAGTAGCGGCTAGACTCATGTCAGAATCTGCAACTTGAAATTGGGGTAATTTCAATGCAGAAGTTGAAGCTGGCATGCTGCAAACAGGAGCCGAGTCTGGGGCTTTGTCTTCTGAAGGATTAGATTCAGGGTCATCAGAGAAGAGGCAGACTCCAGATTCCAGGCAAGGGGTTCCCTCTGAAAGGATTGGGAGAAGTAGTTTATTCTCATGACACTGAATCTTGAATTACAATGTTCCAGTCTCTGCTAAGAATTAAAAAGACCTTCTGTGAAGTGGGATGTAAAAATAAATAAATAAATAAATAAAAAATAAAAAAAGACCAACGCATTTAGTTTAAGAGAAAAATGGGCATGCTAATACACTGGTGGTGGAAGTGCAAAGTGGTTTAATTTTTTTTTTTTTTGAGACAGAGTCTCACTTTGTTGCCCAGGCTACAGTGAGTGCCGTGGCATCAGCCTCGCTCACAGCATCCTCAAACTCCTGGGCTCAAGCAATCCTCCTGCCTCAGCCTCCCAGGTAGCTGGGACTACAGGCATGCGCCACCATGCCAGACTAATTTTTTCTATATATATTAGTTGGCCAATTAATTTCTTTCTACTTTTAGTAGAGACGGAGTCTTGCTCTTGCTCAGGTTGGTGTCAAACTCTTGAGCTCAAAGGATCCGCTGGCCTCGGTCTCCCATAGAGCTAGGATTACAGGTGTGAGCCACCACACCCAGCCAAACTTTTCTGAAAAAAAATTTTTTAAAGGGTATTATATAGCAAAAGCCTTAATATGTGTTAGTCAAAAATGCTAGGTTTTTAAAAAAATTTTTATGTTTTTAAAGATGGGGTCTTTGTCACCCAGGTTGGAGAGCAGTGGCACGATTACAGCTCACTGCAATGTCGAACTCCTGGTCTCAAGTGATCCTCTTGCCTCAGCCTCTCGAGTAGCTAGTACTCAGGCACACACTATCATGACTGGCTAATCTTTAAATTTTTTTTTTGTAGAGGCAGGGTCTCACTATGTTGCCCAGGCTGGTCTCAAACTCCTGGGCTCCAGCAATCCTCCTGCTTGGTTTAGTCATAGGGATGTTTCCTGTAACACTATTTATATAATAATAGTATAATTTTAGAAATGCCCCAGATGTTCAAAAAAATAGATTAAATAATGATACATCTAGTCCAATGGAGCACTCTTCATTCATTATAGTTTGAATATAAACACTTCTCACCCACATTTTAAAGGTAAAAAAAAAAAAAAAAAAAAAAAAAAAAAATGAATATAAACACTGATATGCAATAAAATGGAAAAATGTTTCTAATATATTAGATAGCTAACAAATATTATTTATCACGACTATATTTTAAAAATAAAATTTAAGTAAAATGACTAAAGAAACACAGCAATATTTTACTATTAACTTATAGGAATACAGGTAGTTTTACTTTATTTTTAATTTTTATAGAGATGGGGTCTCACTATGTTGCCCAGGCTGGAGTGCAGTGGCTATTCACAGGTGCAATGATAGCACACTACAGCCTAAAACTCTTGGGCTCAAGCTATCTTGCCACCTTAGCCTCTGGAATAGCTAGGACTATAGATGTGCACCACTGGGTATGGCAATACATGTAGTTTTAAATATTCTTATTTCCCATATTGTCCAATTTCTGGACAATGAATATATATAGTAGTTTTATAAGGAAGGAAAGAAAGGTTGAAAAATATGACAAATACTCTATTTTTGTTTCTTCATCCATGATGACATCATCTTTTTCACTTAATATATCAACAGATATCATTGCCAAATTAAAAATACCAGATACACATGCATATGTCCATTAAAAAAATAAATAAATAAATAAATAAAAAAAATAAAAATACCAGAGACATAATCCCCAAAATGTTTCAGAAAATATCATGCTATCAGGAATTATGTGTAGATAAGGAGAACGTACGAGATTCCTAAGATGATCCTAATGAACATGGCCAAATACCACATTTGATGCCAAATGGTGCCTTTTATGATAATATGTTTTTGAGAATTAATTAAAAACTTTCTTTACAGATTAAAACTTTGATTTATAAGTAATAAAAAACATAGTCATTATATTAATTAATTTATACAAGAAGAGTTTACTTCAGCATTTGACTCATTTTTCAATAAAAGACAGGCCTAAAACTTCATTCTATGGCCTTAGGACTCCTGCGTAACAGTTGAATCAACATATTTAGAACACATCAAGACTCTCACATCCTCAAAATCGTTAGTTAAACCATTTTTTAAAATATCGATTGGCCGGGCGCGGTGGCTCACACCTGTAATCCTAGCACTCTGGGAGGCCGAGGCGGTCCAATCACTTGCGGTCAGGAGTTCGAAATCAGCCTGAGCAAGAGTGAGACCCCATCTCTACTATAAATAGAAAGAAATTAATTGGCCAACTAATATATATAGAAAAAAAAAGTAGCTGGGCATGGTGGCGCATGCCTGTAGTCCCAGCCAGTAGGATTGCTTGAGCCCAGGAGTTTAAGGTTGCTGTGAGCTAAGCTGATGCCATGGTACTCACTCCACCCTGGGCAACAAAGTGAGACTCTGTCTTAAAAAAAAAAAAAAAAAAAAAACAATTGATTGATGGATTAACAACTCCAATAATTTTCAAGTACACTTGGATTAACACGAGTTATTTTTCTAAAATGGGCATCCATGATAGATTAGTACACTTAAAGTTGATTACCCAGAATATCTTTATATAGGATTCAAAGCAAAATAAAAATGTTTTTTCTATTAGAGCAGATGAAATATTACCTAGATCTTGCCTTGGCAAAGAAGACTGCTCCATTAAATCATATGGCTCAGACTTTTCCAGTTGTTGCTCCTCCACATCAACAACCTTAACGAGCTCCTCCTGAGACAGGCAGATTCTGTTCTGAAGACTCCCAGAGTGGCTGTCCATGTACCACCTATCATCCGACAACTGAGACTTAGAAGAGGAAGACCTAGAAAGATGGATGAAAGGAGAAAACCATCACCACCAATTGGGAAAGGACTAACTAATCAAGCTTCCTGGGCAGCCAAGGCATAAATGAAAGAGCTCACTGTCAGAGAGATCAGGAATGACTAGTAAAAAAGAGCCCATGTGACAGCCCAGAAGTCTGGATTCATGCTGCCTGTCAATATGTTAGGGCTGACATATAACATCTCCCCTTAGGGGTTGGTCTGAGGCAGTATATCTCCTAGCTGTTTAAAAGCATGTCAGCAAATTTTACCAAATTATCCACTGCCACTCACTCAAAATTCTATACACTACATTCCACTCAAGTCCAAATGGATGTGTTAGAATCAGATCTCTTATGAAGATAGAAAGTTTATGCTGACATCTCTACGCTCATTCTTTCTACTCAATTTTGGCAGAATTTATATAGAATCAACCTTATTCCCTGCCTTTTTGATGTCCAAAGTCATTCTAAAAACAAAAGCCAACTATAAAATATTGTTAGAAAAACATATGAACCAACTAAGTAGTCCCTCTACTCTTTCAGGTATTTAGGACTTTGCAAAGTAAGACACTTATCAATAAATTTAAAGGGATCAAAATCAATAGATTTTTTTTTTTTTTTTGAGACAGAGTCTCACTCTGTTGCCCAGGCTAGAGTGAGTGGCATGGTATCAGCCTAGCTCACAGCAACCTCAAACTCCTGGGCTCAAGCAATCCCTCTGCTTCAGCCTCCCAAGTAGCTGGGACTACAGGCATGCGCCACCATGCCCGGCTAACTTTTTCTATATATATTAGTTGGCCAATTAATTTCTTTCTATTTATAGTAGAAACAGGGTCTTGCTCTTGCTCAGGCTGGTTTTGAACTCCTGACCTTGAGCAATCTGCCCGCCTTGGCCTCCCAGAGGGCTAGGATTACAGGTGTGAGCCACTGCTTCTGGCCAAAATCAATAGATTTTTAAGCGATTAATTAATTTGAATAATTATTGGGTGCTTACTATGAGTCAGGCACTAAAGCATGACCTGAATCGCTGCTCTCAAGTAATCTAGTAGAGGGAGGAAGTCCAATCAACGTGTAGGTTCTATGATATAATAGAAATCTCTATTGGATATCTGTGGAGGGAAGAGGAGCAGGAATATTTAGTCTGAATATTAAATGGACAGTTAGCTTACTGGTTAAATAATGCCAAGGAGGTCATTACCTCTAAACATAGCTTTAGTGCCTATGGAAGCCAGATTTTTTTCTTTTTTGAGACAGAGTCTCACTCTGTTGCCCAGGTTAGAGTGCTGTGACATCAGCCTAGCTCACAGCAACCTCAAATTCCTGGGCTCAAGCAATCCTACTGCCTCAGCCTCTTGAGTAGCTGGGACTACAGGTATGTGCCACCATGCCTGGCTAATTTTTTGTATATATATTTTTAGTTGGCCAATTAATTTCTATTATTAGTAGAGATGGGGTCTCACTCTTGCTCAGGTTGGTTTCTAACTCCTGACTTGGAGCAATCTGCCTGCCTCGGCCTCCCAGAGTGCTAGGATTACAGGTGCGAGCCACTGTGCCCAGCCTGGAAGCCAGATGTTTTCATTCTCTGTCATAGCCACAATACACTAGCCTCAAAAATATATCCTCAGTCAAGTCCAAGGGCCTTGGAAATGATGGTATGATTATATTACTGACAACCTGTCATCATTCCCAGAAAGGTAAGTGAAAAATATATACATGCAGCAGGGACTCAAGAAACGAATTCCTGCAAGTCATAAGAGAATGTAAAACAGAAAAAAAAAAAATAATAAAGTTAAAGAGTAATATTTTAAATAAAATAAAAAGAAAGTAAAGAAAATAAAATAAAGAAATGAATTCCTTTTCCTTCCTAGCGTGGGAAGATGTGAGACCCTAACAGCTCTGTGTCTCTCTTTCCTGAACTATCAAATAAGAATGAATAATAGTCTCAAATTTGTCCTTTTATTTTCACAATCTTAACAGAAAAGATCAAAGGAGGAAGTAGGTATTTTTAAAAATATAAAGTGCTATACAGTTTTATATCAATAGTGATTTGAATACACATCCCTAAAAGGTATTCTGAACATTTCCTGGGGTAAATAAACAGCTAAACTTTTTCCAGAAAGGCAAAAATTTCAATTAAGGCAAAGGCTGCCTTGGAGAAGTCTACCATCACCCTCCAGTCTTGTTCAGGTTTTAGTTCTATTATAGTTTATTTTGACCTTCAAAAGGGACAGTTCTAATTGCACATTTGACATGTTACAGCTTATGCTGTAGGTCCAAAAAACCTATATACAATTAAACAATAGAGTGTCCTAGAGCAACAAGAGGTTATGTTTGTGTACAAAAAATTGAAGAAAATACGGTGAAAAAAGTTAACAAGAGTTCAATATAAGTAAAGATGTTAGATACCACAGCTTAACATTTCTTACCTTTCAGCTCTTGGTTCTTTAGTTTTACTGGTAGAACTATATGGAGATACTTGGAACTTGTCAGCAGAAAGGCTTTCTGGATTTTGGCTTACAGGATAATCACTACTTTTCTGTGGAGTTAATACTGCTTTAAATGGAATGAGAAAAGAAAGAAATCTACTTTATTTCTTTGTCCTGATGGTGATAATTCGGATGAGGATATCAATTTTTTCAAAAGTTGCAATTTGTGACAATCAAAAACAAAACTTTTTTGTGTGTGTGAAAAAAATTTTCACACTCACTTGTTGCCTAGGCTAAAGTACAGTGGCATCATCATAGCTCACTACAACCTCAAACTCCTTGGGCTCAAGTGGTCCTCCTGCTTCAGCCTCCCAAGTATCTGGGACTACAGGTTAGCATCACCATACCTGACTAATTTTTCTATTTTTTGTAGAGACAGGTTCTCAATATGTTGCCCAATGTGGTCTTGAACTCCTGGCCTCAAGGGAGATCTTCTTACCTCAGCTTCCCAAAGTGCTAGGATTATAGGTGTGAGCCACTGAACCTGGCCCAAGTTGGTTTTTAAACAAGTGTATCAGACAAAATTTTATAAATATAAGTATTGCAACAGACAGATGCTAGTACCAAATGGAACTACATGATTAAAAAATAATGATAATAAAAGGAACATTTTAAGACTGGGTAAATGAAGACACCCAGCTGAGACAAGGTTGAAAACCACATACATTTATATTTTTTTGGCCCTGAATAAGAAAACAAGAATACATAACAAATTTTTTTCTCTGCAGCAAACTAAATTATGCACAAATCCCCTCAGATAATAAAGAAGGAAAAGTCTGGAAATCACAAAGCATACTCTTTTTTCCATCCCCAGTGCCTCCATATCAAAGACTATGAGATGGGGGTTTGAGCTTTTGCATGTGTGGGGAAACAGGAGAGAAGGGCCAGATGAGAAAGAAAAAACAGGTGACATTTGTTTCATACTGTCAATTGCTGGAAAAAAAAAAAAGAAAAGAAAAAAACCATAAAGAAATAAACTCAAAAAACCAACACATACCCAAAAAAATCCCCAAGGTGCTGGTTGGTAAGAACCTTGAAGTAATACATCGAACTAATGATGAAATGTCACAAGAAGGGAAAATATACAAAACAGACCAAAGACAAAGTTCTGGCAAGTTAGTATACCCTTTTTATTAATTCCTCGCATTGTATTACTATGCCACTGTCTTCTAGGAAGTGGCTTAAAGGCACGAATATTCAAAAAGCAAAAACAGTTAAAAATTATAAATGTCTTCTATCCATTAAATAGCCACTGATGACTATAATTCATTTTGATCTTTTATTAGAAAAGTTAAAATCCATAAATTGAGACAGAAAATTTAAACAAAGGATTATATTAATTAAACTATTTTTTTTTTTTTTTTTTGAGACAGAGTCTCACTTTGTTGCCTAGGCTAGAGTGAGTGCCGTGGTGTCAGCCTAGCTCACAGCAACCTCAGACTCCTGGGCTCAAGCGATCCTTCTGTCTCAGCCTCCCAAGTAGCTGGGACTACAGGCATGCGCCACCATGCCCGGCTAATTTTTTTTATATATATTAGTTGGCCAATTAAACTATTTTTTAAGACACTAGGTAGCCTAGGGGGGAAATAATCATTGATTTCCTAAGTAATCTTCAAATGAATTATTTATCATTTCCTTTATGCTTATCTTTTCTGGACCTGTGAGTTTCAAGGAACACAAGAACACTGCCTGAAGCTCCCAGATGCTGAGAGTAAGCAGAGTTTAACCATGAATATAGGTATCATCACCCAAATACAGAGTGGTAATTGATAAAGGGTAATGTGCAGCTTCTAAGGAATCACACCAAACAGAATTAATCATTGCAAGGGATTTAAAAAAAGTAAAAGGGAGGGGTAAGGCTCAGACATAAACATAGCTATTAAAAGTCATTCTATCATAAGAACATTTAGTATATAAATTCCTCTTTTCACTACAATGGGCCTCAAGCCATGAATAAAATAAGCTAACCTGAGTTAGGACTCAGTAACTCAATAGAAGCTAAAAAACAAAGCAAAACCTTTCTGCTCTTTTCCCCCTTAATCCTCAATTCATTCTCTGACTAGCAAGCTCAACCTAGGCCTTGTGATATGATGATCTACTTTTTGGCTGGTTTAGGAAAGTTTAAATGGAGGGATCCAGAGCCCAGGTTTCAGAACAATACCATAGTCCCCCCTAAATCATTCCTTTATCTGGGTGCCTTACCTTTTACATTCTTTTTTTTTTTTTTGAGACAGAGGCTCGCTTTGTTGCCCAGGCTAGAGTGAGTGCCATGGCATCAGCCTCGCTCACAGCAACCTCCAACTCCTGGGCTCAAGCAATCCTCCTGCCTCAGCCTCCCAAGTAGCTGGGACTACAGGCATGCGCCACCATGCCTGACTAATTTTTTCTACATGTATTAGTTGGCCAATTAATTTCTTTCTATTTATAGTAGAGACGGGGTCTCGCTCTTGCTCAGGCTGGTTTCGAACTCTTGACCTCGAGCAATCCGCCCGCCTTGGCCTCCCAGAGTAACCTCTTACATTCTTTATGGATAGGAAATATGGGTAAGACAAAACATTTAATAAATTCACTGACTGCCTACTGCATGCTAAGCATTATATAAGGTATTGGGAAGAATCAAGGAAGATACTGGGGAAGGAAGAAAAAAGATGTTAAGGAATGATAACCCATTCACCACAACTGATTCACTTCCATTGTAAACTTTCATCATCTTTAAGATTTTTACATCATCTTTAAGTTTTTACTTAAAAAGTAAAAACTGGTGGAATCCAAATAAAGTCTAGAGTTTCACTCATTGATAACAGTATACTAATGTTTGGTTTCTTAGTTTTGACAAAAGTTGCAATATGAGATAATGGTAACATAAGGTAACAATAGGGAAAAACCAAAACTAGGTGAGGGGTATACAGGAACTCTCTGTATTATCATTGCAACTTTTCCGTAAATCTAATTTTATTCCAAAATAAAAAGTTATTTAAAAAATATGTCATGAGTATAGCAGAATGTAAACACTACTCTTTTCCATAGGATTAAGAAGTTAACTTGAGTTTCAGTTAGACTCACAAAAACTTAAGGGGGAAAAAGACTCAAAACTAGAGTTGGTGCTGAGGACAGTAGCTCACAATGATAATCCTAGCACACTGGGAGGCTGAGGAGGGAGGATCGCTTGAGCTCAGGAGTTTGAGACCAGCCTGAGCAACAGTGAGACCCTAAAAAACAAACAAAAAACAAAAAAAACCCAACCAACCAAACAAAAAAAAACTAGTGTTCAAAGTCATACAGTAACATTTATATCTTTTGTATTAGAATTGAAAATCTGGTCTGTTTTTAGACTGAAGATAGTAAAAGCACCCCAAAGAAGAGAATTGTACTGGAGATGGCACTCTGAACTTCATTATCTGGGAGATGAACTAAATGAAGACACAGTTACAAAGAAAGCATTTAAGGAAATACATTTTGAAGCACTGCCATAGCAACAGAGTTCCTAGCTTCTCACACACAAGTTACTGTTTCTCCTTGAACATAAAAATACTGCAAGGCACTCTTGGGGACTAAGGCCATTGTTCTGAAAAATTAACAAACTTGAGTTCCTACAAAGACTCAAAGGAAGCCCTTAGGGCCCCCAGCAGGACTGTGGAAGGGAGTGCTGGAGAAGGAACTTGAAGTTGGTCAGGTATGGATCATGGAGGTAGTGAGGCACTTTGGGAGGGCTCGCCAACCTAGCCTGTTTCTAAGCAGCAACCTCCTTGTGTGAACCCCATGCTGAGCCTCTCCTGTGTGTCTATCTATGTATTTGCCCCTATTTAAAAACCTGCCTGATGTGTTGTCTCTCCAATTAAAAACTCAAATTTTCATCTCATTTTCCTTAATTTATGCCATGTTATTCCTCAGCTCAGCGCTCACTTCTCACAGAAAGTCAGCTCTGATTAACCCCACCTGCCTGGTTCTGCCAATGGTAGCCTCTCAGGTCCATCTGGACTTGCTAACAACTATCACATTGTTATAAAGCACCTGACTCTGCTGCATAATTGGATTTTCTGTGGATCAAAGCATAGTTCTTGAAGTATATGATGTCTCTTCCTATAATTCAGAAAGCACATTAAATAAGTCAATGTGATCTGACACCAGTGTTATAGGAATATGTCTGAGTGGTTTCTTTTTTAATCTTTCTGAAATTAAAGGGTTACCTGTTACCCTCATTCCACTTAGCTGGGCAAGAACTATATTATCTATCTCCTGGGGGCTCCCCACAACACCTCTTCATTGTAGGTGCTCAGTCAGACAATGACATGAATGACTGTCATGGGTCCCTCTGACTAGTAAATTAGTTGTGAGCAGGGACTACAACCAAGGCTCCCTAATTACCCATGGAATGACTCAATAAATACATGCTGAGCAAAGATCATAAAATGTTGGAGCTAGGTCCTTATGTTTCAGGAGATAAAGGTTTAGGGAGGGAAAGAATTTTGCTTAAGATAACAGTGTTTGGCGAATACTACAAACCTTTTTCTGATGGGTTTTGTTCCAGATTTAGCAGGTCATCAGGGGCACAAGAGTCAGCTATGAGGGAAGGGGAGCTGTTAGAAGGCTGGCTCCCGTGCTGCTCTAACACAGCTTCCAGTTCAGCCATTTCTTGCTGGAGCTTTATCAGGTTATCTTGCATGGTATCCCTCTGCTACAAAAACAAGAAATGACACCAAGAAAGTTACACATTTTGAGAAACTTTCCATACTCAAGCGAAAATATATCACCCCAATTAACTTTATCACAGAAATTGAGATCACCTAGTATGGAATTGAGTTCTGGTTGAACATCTTTAATCTAACCACATTTGTGCAATTAAAGCCCATGAAATGGCTGGGCGTGGTGGCTCACACCTGTAATTCTAGCACTCTGGGAGGCTGAGGCGGCGGATTGCTCAAGGTCAGGAGTTCAAAACCAGCCTGAGCAAGAGCGAGACCCCCGTCTCTACTATAAATAGAAAGAAATTAATTGGCCAACTAATATATATAGAAAAAATTAGCCGGGCATGGTGGCGCATGCCTGTAGTCCCAGCTACTCGGGAGGCTGAGGCGGGAGGATTGCTTGAGTTCAGGAGTTTGAGACCAGCCTGAGCAAGAGTGAGACCCCGGCTCTACTAAAAATAGAAAAATTAGCTGGGTGTCATGGTACATGCCTATAGTCCCTGCTACTTGAGAGGCTGATGCAGGAGGATCGCTTGAGCCCAGAAGTTTGAGGTTGCAGTGAACTATGATGATGCCACGACACTCTGCCTAGGGTGACAGAGCAAAACACTATCTCAAAAAAAAAAAAAAAAAAGCCTGTAAGGAAGACAGTTATTGTTTTCAATTTAACATCAGTTCTTCTTGTTTATGGAGTTCCTGTTGTTTATTATTCAATTTCATGAAGAAATCTAAGTCTAAGGTACTTGATAAACAAAGAACTTTAGGTACAGAAGTTTTCTAAAATACACATTTCTTCATCACTTTTAGAAGGAACATCAGTGGTTGCCACAAGCCTAGGGGATGGGGAAACACAGATCGTTTCACCCTGCTGCATTTAATCCTTGAAATTGACTTTGCCCTCTACTAAAAACAAGCCATTTTCTTTCTCCTGCTACAATGAGTTCATAGTTTTCAGGTTTTTGTGACCTGAAAATGTATTCTCAGTTTCACAAAGATTTCCACTACTGCTACTCTGAGATTGCTTTGCTTCCAATGTCCACAGCAAACGCCATTGCCACCACGTGGTACTCATGAGTAGTTACATCACCGACCAAACCCTAGCCAAGGCCTTGCCTCAGTAAACCGGGAATAAAACCACATAGATTATCTGACCAATGCTTCAGAAACTATATTAGTCACTACTATCACAACCATCACCACCCAACCTCTAGGTGGTCATTAAATATTAATAAATATTAGATCATAAAATTAAAAAAATAATAATAATGGGAGAATTAGAGTTAGATAACTTTACTTTGGGTTTCCCCAAAGGAATTACTTTATAACTCAGTCAAATTCCCTGGCAGGAAAAGTGGCCAAATTAGGAGAACAAAACCAATAGGTTACCAAGACTTCTTGGTTCAAATTCTGAAGTGCTCCTTTAATTACCTCTCCTCTTCTATTCTATTCCCACTATGCTACTTTGATCGCTACTTTTAATATAGCTACATTACTGCAGAAGTTCCCCAAAAGCTATGTTTATCATGTTTTTCATCATCTTTTCTCTCATAAGGACCTTAGTGGTATACCAGTGCCCCTAATAAAGTTAATACTTTCTGAACACTATATACTTGTTAGCCATTATTGCCCTCAGGATAAAGTCCAAATTCCTAAGCATAGCATTCAAAATGTCCTTTACATCTTCATCTTATATCTTATTTTTCTCCAACATCCCCCACATGTTCTGTTTTCCAGTGACAAAGGACAACTTTGTGTTTCCCAAGCATTCCATGCTTCTGTACGTTCACCTCAATTGCTGCCTCCCCTCTTTTTCCTCTTGGAAAAATTCTCTCATCTTTCAAGGCATAGCTTGAATGTCTCCTTACAAAGTCCCTACCAATAATCCATCTCCATCAGGAACAGATGATCCCTCAGTACTTGATTTATACTGCTAATGCATTAATATACCCAAGTGGAACACATGAGGTGGCAGGGATATTTCCTTAATCATTTTGTCTCCCCAGTGCCTAGCAGACAGAAAGCATTCAGTGAATGTTTAATGCAGAAATGAATTAATGAATATAGTTTATCAGGCTTCCATTTAAAAAACAAAAGATACTAATGATACCTGGTTAGGAATTCCCTATCTCCTATATACTTTTCCTCAGTACTTTTTTCTCTCTTTCTTCTTTCTTTATTTTTTTGAGACAGAGTTCACTTGTCACCTGGTAGAGTGCGTGCCACCATCATAGCTCACTGTAACCTCAAACTCCTGGGGCTCAAATTGATCCTCCTGCGCCCAGCCTCTGAATGTAGCAACACAGATGGTGGCACCTCGCCAGTTAGTTTTCATTCTTTTTTTTTTTTTTTTTGAACAGGTCCCGCTGGTTGCCCAGGCTAGAGTGCAGTGCCGTGGCGTCAGCTAGCTCACAGCAACCCTCAACTCCTGCAAGCAATTCCTCCTGCCTCAGCCTCCCAAGTAGCTGGGGACTACAGGCATTTCGCCACCATGCCGGCTAATTTTTTGTATATTATTAGTTGCCAATTGAATGTCTTTCTTTATCAGTAGAGACTGGGGCGCTCCGCTCGTTGTCAGGTGGGTTGTCGAAGCTCCTGGGACCTGCCCGACGATGCGCGCCGCCTGCGTGGGGCCGTCCCAGAGAGCTTAGATTACAGGCGTGAGCCAGCCGCGCCCGGCCAGTTGTTCTTTCTTCTAGTAGAGATGGCGGTCTCGCTCTTGCTCAGGTGGTCATGAACTCTCTGACCTCAAGTGGTCCTGCCCACCTCCGCCTCCTAGGAATATTAGGATTACAGGCGTGAGCCACAGTGCCCCGCCATTTTCACTGCGTTCTTTACAAATGGGGAAAGATCCCATTTTCGATCATTGTTGGCTTGGTGCTGTGTGCCTACTCTAATTTAGTTATCCGAATCTGACTTCAGCTGTTTTGGGGGTAAGATGCCTTATAAAACACGTGATAATGGATGAAATCGCTGAACAAATAGAGCAGAGGCGTGGCTGGGAAGGTTAAGAGCAGAGGATAGTTAGGGCGGCGTGGTGGCTCATGCGCGGTGTAGATCCTAGCACGTTGGGGAGGCCGAGGCAGGTGGATGCTCGAAGGTCAGGAGTTCCAGAACCAGCCTGAGCAAGGAGTGAGACCGTCTGGTCTGACTAGTAAATGTGTAGAAAGGAAGTTAAGTTGGCCCAACGAATGAGTATATGAGAAAGAATGAGGCTGGGCATGGTGGCACGATGCCTGTGAGTCCAGCTACTTTCGGGATCTGGCAGGAAGATGGCTTGAAGCCCAGGACGTCTGAGGTTGCTGTGAAGCTAGGCTGGACGCACGGCACCTCACTTCTAGCCTAGAGGCAACAAAGCGAGACTCTGTCTACAAAAAAAAAAAAAAAAAAAAAAGTAAGAAAGAAATACAAATAGCAAGCCAGGTAGTTTATTGAACTGGGTCAGAATACATGGATACGGAGGTCTGGCTGGAGGTAATATAGGCAGGATGGAGACCAGGGAAACTCAAACTTTAAAACACAAGGGCAAAATTTAGGGTGAGCAAGGATGGTTGACAGAGGCGCCTAAAGTCCACAGTCGCAGGAGATGGATCATTAGAAAGGCAAACAGAGAAACACCTCCTAAGTTGTTTTCATCAATTTATCACCATGGCGTATCTGCAGAAGGTGATGAGGCCACGAATACTGGGTGACAACTCACTACAGAGATGGGGCGAGTCATCTCAGAAGGATGTGTTTGGTGACTTCCAAGGGGCTTCCAGGCCTGGAGCGGATGTTGCCGTCTGTACAGGAGGGGATGGACAGTAGAAGACAAGGCCCTTTTTGGTACCTGCTATCCTTGTAGCGAGATGTAAGATGTGAAGGTTTTAAAACTGGATACCACCCATGTTGGCAAAGGCCACAGAAAATGGAACTATCATACCACAGGGGCCAGAGCGAATACAATTGTGTTAATCTTTCTAAAGATACGTAAATTTAACATTATGTATCAGGAAGACCAGAAATTTCCAGTTCTGAAGGGAATTGCACTAAGACTGTGTGGTGCTCACGTCTGTTAATGCCTAGCAGCTCTGGGAGCTGGGAGCAGGTGGCATTGCTCAAGTCAGATTCCAACGCGAGGCCTGGAGCAAGAGCGAAGACCTGTCTTACTGATAAATAGAAAGAAATTATGGGGCGAACTAGAAGGATATATAGAAAAAAAGTTAGCTGGGCATGGGTGGCGCGCCTGTAGTGCGCCCGCTGACTCGTAAGCGCTAGAAGTGAGAAGCAGTGAGGATTGCTTGAGCCGCGAAGAGATTTGGCGGTGGGGGGCAGGTTGCTGGAGCTAGGCTGATGCCATGGCACTCACTCTAGCCTAGGCAACAAAGTGAACTCTGTCTCAAAAAATAAATAAATAATTTTTTTTAAAGCATAAGTGAGTACACAAGCAGCCCCTGTGGACACACAGGATGAAGGGACTGAAAGGATATCCAATATTAATAGTAACCATTTCAGGATAACTTGAAAATATAAATGTCACCGATGTTAACAAATTTTAAAGCAGACAGTTCAGTGGCGATGTAATTACATTCACATTGTCGTTGGTAGTAACCGATCATCTGATTACTCATTACCAAGAAGCGTTTTTCATCATCCCAAACGTAAGAATGCGGTGTACCCATCAAACAGATAACTCCCCATTCCTTCCTCGCCCAAGTCCCTGGGGTAAGGCCGACGGTATGTGTATCTTCTGTCTGTCACGGTGTCTGTATGAATGGGGTTGACGATTCTAGGTACCTCAAATAGCGTAGAGATCAGTGAGTAATATTGTCCGTGTTCGATGGCTCTGACTGTGGTATGTTGCAGGTTTCACATGTGTTCGAAGGGTTCGAATCGCTATGATTAATTTTTGTTCTTGGTTTGGTATTTCTAAATTTTCTGACTATATACATGTGATATATGTGATCGTTGTTAGAATATGGGCTTTTTGCAATTTCATCTATCTGGGCCCTCTTTAGAAGTTCTGGCGGAAAAATGTCATTCACGATGATAGCAGCTAAAAGTGTATAAGATATAGGTGAGAAAAGTAAGTGCATGATAGGAGATTCAAGGCAGTCCAGTATTGTTATATTTAAGAATGCGTGCGGCGTGGAGGAGGAGGGCGACAGAGGCTTGACGCCTGTAAGGTGCCTGGAGTAGCTGGCGTGGAGGCTGAGGCGAGGAGAGTTTGCGGATAAGCTCAAGAGGTTCAAGACCGAGCGCGAGAGGCAAGAGTCGAGAGCGCCACTTACTAAAATAGAAAAATAGACCGAGTGGGTGCAGGGCAGGTGTGGCCTGTAGTCCAGCTACTCGGGAGGCTGAGGGCAGAGGATCGAGTGGAGGCTCCAGAGTTAATTGGCGAGAGAGGGCGTACAATGAGTGCCACTGAATTCTAAGCCAGGTGACAGAGAGTCGTGGTAGCGTAAAAAAAAGAGAAGAGAAGAAGGAAGAAGAAGAAGTGCCTGTGGAGTGGTTGCAGGGAGAAGTAAGCAAGTGTTGCCTGAGAGGGGTCATCGGATGTCAGTATAGCACTTTCACCATTTCACCAAATCACTTTCACGCCAGTTGATTGCTGCTGTGTGTAGTTCGTCTGCATGTAGGACCCTTGTGCTAGGAATACAGAGCAGGTATCTATATGCGTGTGGGTGGTGGGGGTTGTTGTGGTTGTCTTCTTAGGTGGACAAATTGTATATAAAGAAAGCTGAGGTGCAGTTGAAATTGTTGAGTATGAAGACTGCCCGCCGACGGCCCCGTGGAAAATTTGGTGCCTTTTAAAGAATAAAAATTAGGAGGACAGAACCAGTTTCTGGAGAGGAGGATGTGTAACTTGTTGGATGTTCGTGTGATAGAAAATGCTTTA